TCTTCTCCTTCTTCTCCTTCTTCTTCTTTTTGGTTTTTCGAAACAGGGTTTTGCTGTGTTGTTTTGGTGCCTGTCCTAGACCTAGCTCTGTAGACCAGGCTGGCCTTAAACTCATAAAGATCTGCCTTGCTTGCCTCCCGAGTTCTGGGATTAAGGCATGCAACACTGCAGCCCAGCTTTTTTATTTATTTTTAGAAACCTTTTAAAGTCTTATGTTTTTTACACTATACAATTGACAATGTTTAAAGGTGAAACAGGCCTATTTTAAAATCATTATCATGTATTCTATATGTTTAAATCTTTTCAAAGTCATGTTTGAAGTTTCTTCATGAACTTCTTAAGAAGATAGAAAAATTGATTGACAGCAAATTTTGAAGCCTGTGATATTAATCTCATGTTTAATTTTTAGCCATAGTAAAATGGGAATTGTAAGTCTATACATTATTCTCTACTTGGATGTGGATTGTTAAGTCCCTTTCTTTAGGGTCTCAGATAAACCCAGTTTTTCATTTTCATTATTTTTTCTCATTCTACATAAAGTAACACCCATACAAATGAGGACCAATATCTTTTTTATATTAACAAGACACTCCTAATAACTACTCGCTATATCTCCAAAATATTGTTTAATCCATGCTTTACACTCTTTCACTATTGAGAGTTTAGGTTTTCTAAGTGTATGCTCCTATGACCATAGCTGGCATTATTAATAATTACTGTATGTTTGCCATTACTCTAAAAGCTTTCAATATAGCAACTCATTTAATATTTAAAATTCTTCTAGGGATAGGGACTACTAAAACACCCCGTTTATATATAAAAATGAGGTATTTCTAAAGCAGAAATATTACCTGATAATAATTTGTGGACATGGGCTGTGAACAACAGAAACTTAAATTCTTAGCTGCAAAAGTTTACCATGCTCCTACATGATACAATGAAAAGAAAATTGTGGTTACATTAAGTGGTAAAGCAAGAACTTACGCCAACATCATCTGTTTTGACTTAGTATAATTTTCAGTCTGTGAAGCCATGAGCAAGCACCTTGATCACTGAATCATGCTCTAGGTGCCAGTGTAGGATCATGTAGGAAATCGGAAATAGTGATGAATGTGCTAACCCAAGTAATTGAACAGATGTTTGAGGGTTAAAAAATTAAGAGTGTTTATAGCAGTGGGAGAGTAAAATTGGTATCTGGAGCAGCTGAGGACTGCCTGAGATTGCCTGCAGAAGAGAAGACAAGGCTGGAACAAGTCCCAGGTTTGCCTTCAGCTATGCAGGATTGGTCTAGTGCCCCCTACTGATGGAATTTGGAGATGATATGCCTGGGGAAGGAGGCATGCATTTTCACTTTTTAATGTTGGACTTTGAATTTCAGTGCACAGGAATGAGTCAGGCTGGGGGTGAGAGACAACACATACCTAAATGACAGACTCATCTACTTAGGGTATATGGGAAATAATATCATCAGGAATGCAGGAAGATTTGGAACTAAGAAAGGAACTAAAACTACCTGGTCCAGCCTGATTACTTTCAAACAAGAAAACCAAGGCCCAAAGGGATTAAGCAGCTTGTAAAAAGTTCCAGCAGTTCCAAGTACCAGAGCGGGGACAGGAATATAAATTTCCTCGTTACACACTTCACTAAAATTCCTGCTATTCAACGCCGTCTCCAAGGACAGGGAACAAATTAATGGACAATGTTCTGAGAAGACAAAAGAAGATGACCTGCAAAGGAGGCCAAAGATGAAAAATTTGTTTAATAGAGAGACTTGTACATCCCATCTATATAAAAAAGAAAAGAAAAAAGAAAAATGAATCAGTCCTGGATGAATTTACTTTGTATGAGAGGAAACTTTGAAAATGTAGGGAACAGAATGAAAACATGTCCCTTAGTCTATTTCTCTCCATGCTATGTTGTATTTTGGGAGGGGTTTGCAGGGTGGGATCTAGAACTGAGTAACAAGCACTCTATGATTAAACTCCTATCATCATCAGTTTAATAATTTCAGAGTAATTATAAATTTTGAGGCAATTTAATAATTTAGCACTATCTATCGATTCCTAGGTATAAAATGCAACAGAGAGACTGCTTGGTACAAAAACTGTTGAAGCAACACTGTAAGTCTCTTTCCTCACTCCTCGATCGCCTGGGGTGCTGCTCTAATTGCCTTGCTGTGGGTACACCTTGTTAGTGAGGGCAAAGAGAAGTCTTTGATGAACAGCCATGTGAGGCCAGTACCTCCTCTGTGCAGGAGTCCAGCCGAGTCAAAGGTCTTTGTCAATTCCAATCTGGTTGAGGAGCCTAGATCTGTAGTACTGAAGGTCTGTCGAAGAATACATTTACATCAATGTGTCAGGCATTTCTATATTGTTCTCATATGTCAAGCTATCGAATAAAGACAAGTTCAAACCTCTTACATTTAATTTATGTGAGTAGAAAAAAATCTACAGTACCTGAAAAACTATAATATGCTTTTGCCTGTGGTCAAGGCTTTCCTAGGATTTACCTACTAACATTGCACATGGTTTTGTTTAGGGATTTCTCTCAGCGACGCTCTCATGTCAAAGTCTTTTGTTTAATTTACTCAGGAAGGCAGCCCTTTTCTTTCCAGGTGGTTAAATGAGAATGGCATTTAATTTTGTATTCTACTGCTTAGCATAAGGCTGAATTTTGGCAGCTGAGAGAATGTTTATCATCAAACAGCTGAAGATCTGAGAAATTTCAGAGGTTGCAACATCTAATTTCTTTGGAAAAATCACAGTTGCAGAAGCATTAATTTTTTTTCCTGAAATGAATCTTTCTGAAGCAACAATGAATGGGATCCATTGAGAAGCTGTCCAGTTCCCCAAGGCAGGCTCTCCCTATGGATGATGGCCATTCATGATTGCTATATCAAATTTTTACATTATACTGGAAAAGAGGTCTATGTTTATGTTCATGGTATGACAGGGACAAAATAAAACTTATATGCTACCTTACTGGTCAGCTCAAATTCTCATTTGGATGTGACTTTGCTGTTATCTTTTTGGTTAAGAAGCAACATGAAAATTTAATATATTAAGTGGAAAAATCATTTATATTACACATTGGGTCCCTTGTTCTACTGTGATTGGGATCTATTTCTGGGAAAGTAAAACAAAACAAAAAATAAGGTATCATCAAAATCGGGGATGAAAACACCATTTTCAGTCTGATATTACAAACATTTCCCTTTGGACGTCTTCTCTTGCTCCTAATTAACTCTTGTATTTATCAGAGAGAGATGAATTATATTCAGCATCATCAGAAGTCCCTGGGTTGTCAAAATTAGTCCAAAGGTAGATTAGAGCACAAGAAAAAACAGAGTCCAGATAGAACAAAGCACCATTAGATGCTCAGAAAGGCTGAGGTGAAGGACAAGCAAGGACTTTATTTTTTTTCTCATAGATTGATTTTATAATCACTATAAAATATGCAAGTACTGACAAACTCCTTATTTAGGTACTTTGTGTACAATCTTCATGTAAAAGCTAATTTTGGAGTAAAAAAGGTCATGGTAAATCCTTATTAGATTTTTAACAAATGTGATACCTATGGTTTTGAAGAAATACTGAAGGACCATCATTACAAACGTGGAATGCCAATTGTCAATAATTGATAGAAACTAAAATCACTGGGGAGAGGAGCCTGGCATGCTTGTGGAGGATGACCATGCGTACATCAACAGAAAAACAAGCACACTGGGTTGGGGTAGGGGAAACACCATTCCCCTCCCAGACTGTGGTCCTGCCCTGTACAAGCTGAGAAAGGAACTGAAAGCCAGCAAGTATTCCTTATTCTTTGTTCTTGATCGCAAATGCAGTGTGAGCAGCCGCTTTAAGCTCCTGCTTCCTGGACTTCCCATCATGATTGACAGTGACCTCAATAGTGGGCCAGATCAAACCCTTTCTCTTGTAGAAGAAATAGCAAGCCAGAATCCTTTAAATTACTTTCATCAGGGTGTATTAAAACAGCACCAGGCAGAGAAACTAAGGCAGTGGATCACCCCAAATTCAGGTCTTATTATGGTTAATTACTAATTAAATATTTTCAGAAATGAGTTCATTACCTAAGCCTGGATTTTTGGAATATGTTTATACAATTTATAATCTTAGAAAAACATGAACATTTCCAAAAACCTGATTCCTTACCTGGAAATTGGAACCAATGATAGAAATAATGTAGAAATGCTTTGAGGGATTAAGATAACATATTAAAACATGGTTTAAAGAATGTAATGATTCTTCCGACTGGTACTATTTCCTCTCTTTTAAATACAGAAGTTCATCAGGTATGCTAAAATCTGTCAAAGAACAGGAGAAAAGGACATATACTGTCCCTAAACTGAAGCTTCAACAGCCACAACGCTGTATTATTAGGATACTTTATTAAATTAAATGTGATTTAATAAATGAGTGCCTTTTCACATAAAACCTTTGATTGCTTTTATATTGTGGTGCATCTGCAGGGCTACATGCATATAGTTACTTGTTCTTTCCAAATACTAGGTCTTGATTTATACATACATGCATATAATTACTTGTTCT